CAACTCTAGTTTCCTATTTAGTCCCGCCTGGCTTTCGTCCACTAACACTACATCATCAGCGAACAACATACACCAAGGATATCCCCTTGAATGTTCCTGGTAACCTCATCTATTACCAAAGCAAAGAGGTGCGGGCTCAAGGCTGATCCTTGATGAAGTCCTATTTTAATCGGGAAGTAAGTTGTGTTACCATCATTTGTTCGAACACTAGTCACAGCATTGTTGTACATGTCCTTGATAAGGGTCACGTACTTTGATGGGACTTTATGTTTGTCCAAAGCCCACCACATAACATTTCTTGGTATCTTGTCATAAGCCTTCTCCAAGTCAATGAAAACCATGTGTATGCCCTTCTTCTGCTCTCTGAACCGCTCCATAACTTATCTTATTATGAAGATTGCTTCTGTGGTTGACTGCTTAGTGATACTCTGTCAGAATAAATTTGCTTAGATGAGAAAGATTATGAACTTATACTGCATCCCTACATTTTTCAGCTTCTCGCACGACAACAAGCACAACGAGAAGAGGAATTGGCTCAGTCACAGAGGCATATCTTAGCGCTTCAAGTATGTTATCAACTTAGCAGGCATTCTTCACATTCTTTCCAGTTTGGGTGTCAAGTGAATAAGCTTTTGTTTTCCTTTCTTTTCTTCAGCAAGAAATTGAAGAGCTCGAGCGTGAAAATCGTCTCCATGATCAACAGGTGGGTCATTTGAGGTTTGAGTTCTCCATAGTCAATACTTTTTTTTGGTTGCATACCTCTGATTAGTTGTGCGAAGTGATCTGGCCATTCTGCATCTGATCCTTCTAGTTATGGAATGTCAACTAGGATTAAATTTGATTTCTCCTTTACCAAAATTTCTTCAATATGAAGCACCATACCATGTAAAGAGTATCTGTGTTACATGTCATCGCAATTTCCTCTTATTATTCCTGGAACCTGAAGTAGCTTTTATTTAGCTAATTGTGTTTACTATTGATACCGAAGTCATGTTTTTTGCCATGTATAAACTATTTGGATATTTGGCCTTCTTGTTGCTACTGCAGCGAGAAAAAAAATTATACAATGTTTAAGAAGTTGGAACACATAGCATTGGGACCGAATGGTGTTCTAGAAGCTTATTGATCCTTAGGCCATAGCTCTGGAATATCACTGGCTTTCTGGAATTCCAGGTGCTGCAGATCTAGTGAGTTTTACACGAGGCAATGATAGTGTAAAGTAAGCATGTGCACGTTAGTGTTCACTCATTTATTACCCAAGGGGTAGTTTTTAAACTTGTTTAAACCAATAAACATATCTTCTAGTTATTTGCCACATTAAGAAGAAGCTGGATTATCCAGATACGAGTTTGCAGAATTCACCTTAGTGTGCTCTAGAATTCCAGATATTTAGTTGTAGAAGACATAAAGATCTGCCCCCCCCCCCCCCAAAAAAAAAGAAGACATAAAGATCGAGTTGAGATGTTGGTTTGATCCCCTTATTTCACTGTAATAAAGATCGAGTTGAGATGTTGGTTTGACCCCCTTATTTCACTGTAGATCTTAACAACAACAGCTTGTGTGTGTAATGTCAGTTTATTTTGGTCTTTTATGTTTTGAGTTACTGATGTTAATCTTTTTATCTGTATTATTTCTGGTGTTTGTAATCTTGCATACTTAAAGTATATTTGTTTTGTGTCATGATAAAACTAGAAAATGAGTTATTGATTCATTGGTTTGAGTTTTTATATATCTTGTTTTTGCTAGGAGGCTTCATATCGGCATGCCTTATTTTGCCTGATTTTATTGTAGGAAGCAATGTTGAAAACCGAGCTTCGGAATATGGAGAGATCACAAAAGCGAGAAGGAATAGATATGACATATCTCAAAAATGTGATTCTAAAGCTTCTTGAAACAGGTAATTGAAACTTTTTATTCTCTCTAGTTGCTGCAGACTGACAGATGATATAATATTATCAGTTGGAACAAATCCATTTTGTCTCCTTAACTCTTGCGTTTGTCTAATTTTGACCTCCAACCACAAAACCGGCTAAATTTGGCACCTTAACTACCAATACCGGTCAATTTTGGCCCTTCTGTCTGGTTTTGGTGGATTTCCGGTGGCTTGGGCCCATCTATCAGCATGGGCCCACATGCAAGACGGTGTGTTGCCTCCCTCTCAATGTCCATGGCACTGCGCTTGACCACACTAAAGGAGGCGTGCGCTCAGAGTCTTCACTCCCTTTTATCTTCTGCTGACCCTCAGCCCCCTCCCTCCCCCATATCTCCCGTCCAGTGCATGGCGAGATTAGCCTCACAGCTGCCCCCATGGCTGACAGTGCTCCATGGCATGGCGGTGCCCTTTCTCCCTCCATATCTCCTGTGACGAGCAAGGGATGGTCTATGGCTGCACATGGGTATGATTCGACAGGGTGGTCTGCACACAGCAGAGGCGAGTGCAGCGGCTGCAGCAGCACAAAAGTGAGCACATTGGACACAGCTATGGGATGGTGGTGTTGGGAGAGGGAGGCATGGAGGGAGAGATGGAGAGACAGGTGGGGGTTCGAGCTACTTGAAAACCACCAAAACTAGACCCGAGGGGTCAAATCTGAACAGTATTAATGGTTGATGTGCCAAATTTACCTGGTTTTGTAGTTGGGGGTTAAATTAGATAAACGTAAGAGTTGGTCCAAAAATATACTTGTTCCTTATCAATTTGATTTTTTTTGGCACAGGGGAAGTGGGGGCATTGTTGCCTGTGGTTGGGACGTTACTACAGTTTAGTCCTGACGAGGTAAACTCTGTATATTCTCATGGAAGTTTATTCTTGCTGCTGATGCAGTGCCGCTTGCTTTTATGTAGCTTCTTAGTTCTGATATGGTTGTTTTTACATGATTATGATATACTACATAAAGGATTCTAGTTCTATTCTACTAAGTTAATCTCAGGTATTGTAAGGGTTAGAAAAGACATGGTATTCATGAGGATATCAAAGTACTAAAATAAAGTCATGCAACATGTTTCCATAACATATCATCAATACTATGTTAAATATCCTTTGATAACTACAATGTTTTTCTTTCTAACGTGAGAGCTTAGATCTCATTTGCTGCACAGAACGGTCTGTTTAATTGATTCTATGTGCTTGCTGGGCTCATTTATGGGTATATAAAGCTAGAGATCCCATACTATAGTTGATTTGGCTGGTTTTATTCACGAGCCAGAATCTGTTCTGCCATTGTATTTATAAAGCGTCATAACGGTTAGAAGTAGTGAAATGATGGGCTAGACCTTTATCTCGTATTTTTTATGACTTTGGGAATGCTCAACCCATAGTAATGCTCAACCCATAGTAAGCTGCTGACATTAAGATTTTTATACTACTCGTTAAAGCATAGCTAACCTTCCTTTTTATCAGTGGTGGTGGGGATGCTGAACACTCCTTTTAAAAAATATTTATGTATTCAGTTTGTGAAAGAAAAATTTTGTTAGGGCAAGCTACGGCTACGACCATTGTACCCATGATGTTGGAAAATGCATACTAATCGCCAGTTTAATCATTTTGAATGTGAGATTGACGCTTCCTTGTTTGAAACCTGGCAGCTCAAGAAGTGCCAGCAAGGTGTCCTTTCAAGTGTGGCTTCTTCACAAGCTGCTGCAGTGTCAGATGGCACAACCACACCGAATTCATTCTTTGCCAGATTCTCGTTCTAACGGAGGTTTAATAAGGCTTTGCTCTTGAAGATCCGCAGTCTAGCTGGGGGAGAGGATGTCCTGAGCCTTCAGATTCACAGTTTTGCTGATTGTAGAGAACGTTTATTCATTTATTATTTACAGGCGTCCATTCCCCTTCTCCTTTTGTAAAAGTAGTGTATATTAGAGGTATAACCACATGGCCCACAGCAGACTCAAGATAAAATGTAATGTATGATATATTGTGCTACTGACATATATAGCAGCTCATGTTAGGTCGTCGAATGTCGAGGGGAATGGTTTATAGACTGTTGTATAATTTTTATTGAACATTCTGAGGATTCAGGAACAATTTTCCACTTTGAACTGTTGAGTTTTGTCTCCTCCGTACGCGAAGTCAAGAATTAATCAGAGGCACAGGTGGTCTTTTTTTTTTTTTTTTTTGATAACAGGTGGTCTTGTTTGATACAACCTTGCACATTCTATGGCAATGCACAAGGTTCGTTTCAAAACCAAAAGTTGAGGGAAAAAAGAGAGGAAAAAGAAGAAAATTCCAAACGCTTTGGGTTCTTTCCTCAGGTGAGCTCCTAGTCATTTCTATGTAACTTTTTTTTTTAAGAAATATAAGTGGACCTTCGCCAGTCAAGCCTTGTACTTGGGTGGGGAGTTTGTTGGATTTGGTTCTAGTCCCTAAAGGGAATCATTGTTTTGAAACGAAAATTAAAAAAAGAACATACAAAACAAGATAAAAAATGCATTTCTTTGAACACATGAATATGTGTAAATACAAGAAATATTCTCCATTACAACAAGCCATGGCATTAATCTGCAATGGCGAAATGGCTGATTTATGGATCGTCCAACTTATTTCCTCCTCATATAATAACACAATTGCTACCTGCTACTACTATACATTGGCCAAGGGAGATTTGAGGAAATCACTGAATGCAAAAATATACGTTGGCGATTATACCATAAATAACCGCGGTGGCGCCCACCATCATCAACCACCCTAATCGCCGTGATTATCATGCCATAAACAGCGCGACTCCGCACATATCGGAAGGCCCAAAGGACAGTGAGAACACCCAGGGCCGTGGGCCGTGGGCCGAGCCGAGCCGAGCCGTGACAAACGGCCACGCTGACGGACGCAGCAGCACGCAGGATTTTTCGAAAGGGGTTGGAAGACGCAAGACGACCGTTGGAAGAGCCACCCCTCCGCCTCCGCTTCAAAAGCAGCCTCGCCTCGTCTTCCAAACCCGAGAGAAAAGAAAAGGAGCGGAGGCCGGGAAGCAATCTCTTCGTCGGGCCAGGCGACCGATCGACCCATGGACCGCCGTCCGCCACTCGCCGTGTCCCCGCGCCGCCTCCGCCCGCGCCCGCACCGGGTGCCCCGCCCGCCCCTCACGCCGGCCTCCTCCGTGCAAACGCCTCCAGGTACGACCGCCGGCTGATCCCCCATCCTCCCTCCCCCTTCGTGTTCCGATTCAGTTCTCCCGATCCGACGCGCGTTCCTCTCAACTCTGCAGGATCGATGAAGAAGGCGGCGGCGGCCCTGATGAGCGCGTCCGTCTGCGCGATCCCGTCGCCGGTCCGCTTCGAGCCCAGCCCGATGCGCGCCTCCATCTCCGCCCTCCCGTCGCCGATCCGCGCCGAGCCGAGCCCGATGCGTGCGAGCATGACCTCCGCGCTCCAGCCCCCAAGGCGCGTCAAGCTCGACCTGACTGTCGCGACGAGGGCGGCGGCGGCCGAGAAGGAGAACTTCCTTCCCGCCGCGGGGCCGCCGTCGCCGCCCCCGGCGGCGAGGGCGAGGGCGGGGTTCGAGAAGGAGAACCTCCTCCCGCCTGGCGCGGACGCCCACGACGAGCTGGTGGCGCTCAACCTCGCCGCGATAGCCGCGGGCACGCCGGCTGGCGGCCCGCTCTTCGTGCGCGGCAGGCTCTACGACGTCTACTCGGCGCGCCGCGACGAGCGGCTCAAGCGCAAGCAGGGCTTTCCCTACTACTGCGAGGAGTTCGCGCCCGCGGCCTCGGTGGACCCCGAGGTGATAGCTGAGGACCCCTGTGTCGCCGTCGAGCTGTCCAAGCGCCGCGTCGCCAAGAAGGCCTACACCGCCAGCGGCGCCGAGTTCGTGAGGAGGTCTGCGCCAGCAGTCGACTTCGCGGCGGGCCACGGCGGAGGCCTGGGGCTGAGGTCGTCACTCAGGAGCAGCAAGGAGATGAAGAAGCCTTCCGCCGCGTCCGGCGCCTTTTCCGTGGCCATCAAGGAGAGGAGGGTCACCCCCAGGTCGTCGGCTCGCCGGTTCTGAGGGTCGTTTTCTGAATTTGGTGGTCGGAATTAAGTGGGTTCAATCATATGGTCGATCTAACATTTTTTGCATATATCTTGCATTCTTGTGGTCTGTTTTCTGAATTTGGTGCTCGGAATTATAATCATGCTCTTCTGTGGTTCACAATTTCACAGCACTAGTGTAGCATGCTTGACTGCTTGTCAATTGGCATACTCCTACAATTTATGCTGAATAGGTGGGATGAACTCTATTGGCAAATTCAGAGCCTTGCTGTGTGCTTCCAATTGTGATATGTTGTTATCAATTGGCCTACTCCTACAATTTATGCTGAATTGGTGTGATGAACTCTGTTGGCAAATTCAGAGCCTTGTTGTGTGCTTCCAATTGCAATATGTTGTTAGTTTGATGCAACATTGTTTGTTGATGCTCTTCAGATTACTATTCTTTATAATTTGTGTGGTCCACTGGCCACAATTCCAGATCGATCAGTCTTTCACACCTCTCAATTATTGTCAAAACTGGCAGCAATGATCCTATAGCTATCTGGTCCTCGAGGATGAAAAATAAGTTGAATCGCCTCTTCTGAACTTTTGCACTGTTTTTTGTTTGTTTGCTTGGGTTCACATTTCTTGGGCAATTTTATGAGTTGTGTGCCACACAGTGCGGTGATAAAGCCGGTTGAAGCTGATTTAGTGTGAAAGAATGTACCATGGCTGATAAGTCAATCTGATAAGTTCAAGCGGACAGGGCCTAAAGTGGTGTATGAGGCATGAATCCAGAAGCAGACAACTTGATTTCACAATTTACTGATCTGATTCTGAACTGACACAATCACAGATCAAGCCTTCCCAAAAACAACACCCTGTACTGGTTGTAGAAGCTGCACACCTGGTGCTCAACATATCCACATCCATTCAACCTGAGGAAGATTAATCTTTCCAGAATGTTAGTTCTAGATGTGCCTCTCATTATTGGGAGCATATTATCTGTTGTTTTGGACAGGAGCAACAATATATAGGAAATTACTTCCTCTTAACGAAATACGTGCTTAGGCACAGTCGCGAAAAAATATATAGGAAATTAAAATGAGGAGGCATTAGTTAGTTAATACAGTACATGTCTCATAGTACAACTATTAGAACACAATCAGGACGTTGCTGCAGCTCCTGCAAGCTTCCTGAGTAACCTGCTAGCTGCCTCAAGCCCATCCCCAGCCTCCTCACCACTGCTACTTGCGGCATTGTCATTTCCATTCCCTTCTTCTTCTTCGTCTTCGTTGTCGTCATCCGGGAAGCAGTATGCAGGTGCCTGCCACTGCGCGTCCTCTAGCTCCACTCCGGGCTCGAAGCTCATCACGAACTGCTGGATCCCCGTCACTGCAGATCAGTATAAGGCGGATGCCATGCGATTTGATTGTTAGTTAGGGAATGAACCTCATGAGTTCATTTCATGGCAATCAAATCAAGCCAAAAAAATTGTTACAGTACCATCGACGAAATCCCAGCGCACGGGCCGCCCCGTGCGCGCCTCCTCGTAGTAGAAGATGAAGCCGGCCTTGCCCCACACGTGGCAGTCGATCCCGCCGGCGACGCGGCGGCCCAGGTACTCGGCGCCGCCACCGGAGAGCCACCACGGCGGCAGCACGCCGACGGGGAAGCGCTCGACGCGGCACGCCGAGGAGTCGAAGTAGAAGGTGGTGCCGTTGTTCCACTCCACGTCGTAGAGCGGGTCTGACGACAGCTGGTGGCGCACCAGGTTCAGGTTCCGCCGCCGCGGCCAGTCGTAGTAGAGGTCCGTGATGCGCAGCGGCGGGCCCGTGGAGGCGTCCGAGTAGTTGGTCAGGTTCGTGAACAGCACCGCGTGGAAGCGCTCCGGCCACGGCGTCGGCGACGGGGCCGGGGGCTGGTCGGACGGGTGCTCTGCCGTCGTGTTCGTCGCCGTCGACGTCGCCGCGGCCGCCGCGAGCAGGAGGAGGAAGAGCGGTGGGGACCATCGGGCGGCGGGCGCCATGTCGCGCGAGCTGGGGACGGCAGTAGGGAGCGGGCCTTATCTCTGTTGTGTGCTCGTGGCGGCTGCTGGTGGTCAGTGGCTGCCAAATCAAGTGACCACAGAGAATTGAAATTTTTCTTTTTTCTTTTTTCTTTTTTTTTAAAAAAAATGGAGAACAAAACTCCTTCATTCGCGTGTTCCCTGACAAATTGCCGGACACCAATGAAGCTACAAAGTCTGGCATTACAAATTCAGGTACACGATAAATAGAACAGAACATTCAGAGAACTCAGAAGTCAGAATACATAAAAGGTTTTGATCTCCCTCAACAGATTTGTGGAAGCACAGACCCTTCAAACAAGCGGTTGCTTCAGCATGCCGAGCCTGCTCCTGCGGCTACTACCATGCCGACATGACTTCTAATGATAAAACCCCACCGAGCTTTATGCCTTTATTTGATTATCAGGGATAATTGTGTTGGCGGCGGGAGTAGGCGGTGGTGTTTGGTTTTAAGTCCGCTGCCGGTTTACCTACTGACGGCACTGAAAGCTCCGAAACAATTCACTGAAGATTTGGACAAAGCCCGTCGCCAACTTTCCAAGCTCATTTGGAACATGGACACGGTCACTCATGCAAAATGAGTTCTGGACGGTGGATCGCTTGTTTTGCGCACTTTGTGGAAGAAACCTGAAGGCCGCGCTACAGCTCGTCGTCGAATGCATATTCCCTCGATCTCGGGCGGCAACTGCCCAAACAAATGCATGAGATCGACCTCTTGCCTCTTGGATGGACAGACAGACTACAGAGTACAGAGGAGGCAGGAAAAGAATCTTGGTTCCTGATGGAGATGGAAAGGGCTGCCATGTCACGTCCGATTTCTATCATCAGCATGATTTGGAACCTTTTATTATACTTTGTGAGACGATCCAGATCAAATGAATCAAAATAAAACATATATCAATAATATAATTTTATTATCTAAAACAAACAAATTTGCTTATTTCTATAGATTATATTATCTAGAAGATATTAATAGGTACATATGACAAAAAAATTGTATATAAATCTTCCTCTTAATATAAATAAAAATATTAAGTCATACTACTAATTTTTTTTTTTGTGAAACATTGGGGGCCTGGCTCCGCCAGTGTTCCTGACTATGGAAAGGGGCTGTCTATGTCACGTCCGGGCGATACTCGGCCTTCTGTCACCCGGGTGACAGCGGCCCAGAGAACACTTGATTTGGAACCCCAAATGGAGTGTTTGGGGGGCATCCAACACTCAGTTGTTATGACCATAGGATCCAGATCAAATGAATCAAAATAAAACATATAAAAATAATATAAAAATATTAAACAAATAAAATAAACAAATTTGCCAGATTATTTCTATGGAAACCAAATTAGAAAATACCAAAGAGGAACCAAATAAAACATATAGAAATAAAAAAGCCAAAAAAATATCAGGTACTTGTTCGAGTAATTCTAACTATTCTCATTTATAAATAATAAATTTACATCAATTAAATACATAATTTATACCTAAACAGAAGTGGTAAAATAGAGTTCAATGAGATGTAATCTGCTCCTGCAACAAAATTGCTTGTGGGGACGAAATGACTGACAGCGCTGGGTCACATGCACCTGACCATCCTGCGTTGAGGTGTCCAGCTGCACCACCTGACCACCGTGGCCCCCACCTGACTACTACAGCACAGACACAAGCACAGTGCTGACGTGCACCATCTGACCACCCCTGGGCCCAACGGACGCTTGCTGCACTCCATCGCCTCCGTTCGGGCGCAAGATCTACGGTACAAAAATCTAGTGACAGGATGCCGAGAATCACTCGAGTGCTAAATAGATTTAGCGGATGGAAAAGGGCAGCGATTAAGACGACACCACACCATGGCAAGGCAATGGCAACTCTAGTCCATCTGGAAGCAAAGAAATGAAAGTTTTTTTTTTTTCATTTCCCAAAGGATGCGACTCACAGTCAGAAAACAAAGGAAGAGACGAAGCTTGCGCTACCCCCACTCTGCCCCCCCTCAAAGCAGTACAATGTAGGAGTAACTCTCTGTCCTCCGCTGCACCGACAAAACTCGTCAGGTCATAAGCATTTGCCCCTCCTGATTTTGTACACCTCATCATCAGGTTTCTGAAAGAGTGAAAGTGACCTCCCAGGCAGGCAACAAGCAGAGCGTAATCATCAATTCTCAAATCAAACCATACAAGACCCATGGCTAAATTTAAACTTTGATGATTAACGCGGGCTAAAAGGAAGGGACTCATGCATGCTGGGCTTTCGATTGTGAAAGAAGAGAGAACTCCATGGACGTTGCCAAAGAAAGATGTCCGGCCCATAAGGCAACCACTCTATGTCTCCGTCAGCCCACAGGCCACAATAACCACAACCATTCATCTCGGAGCTCCGCTGGGCCCATAAAAACAGCGTGGAAACTGGACAGCAGCCGCAGCATACAGTCAGCACCCCCGGCCCGTGCTGCCGTGCATACATATGCCCTCCGATCAGCCTGTTCGGCCGGTGCTGATACGATCGTATGCGATCGTGGATTATTACTGTTGGCTGGTTTGGTGTGAGAGAAAAATATGGTTTTGCCTGAAAATTTACGATCGTTTACGACCAAACGAACAGGCAATTGCGGACAGACAACATCGCTGCCTGGACCAGGTAGCTTTGCTAGGGTCCCAAAGAACGAGGTCTCAAAGAACGATAATGGTACCTCGGGACGTCCGGACAGGACCGACCCTCCTGCCGCTGCGCCTCATGTCGCGCGTCCCAGCGTCTCACGTCTCGCGCTGTGGGCCCTCATCCATGCCTCACTCCGCGCACCCTCACTCGTGCCTCGCGCCGCACTCCCCCGCCTGCGCCGCGTGCCTCGCACCTCCCACAAAGGCCATGATCCATCCGCCTGTCCACCTGGGCAACATCGAGCTCCATGCCAGCGTCAAGCTCCATGTCAACCAGCGTTCATTGAGATGTAACAAGTAGATGATCACATATTGCAGCCGTATGTTTTAGCGTTTCATATATATATTGCATATGTTTTATCTAGATGTTGCAAAAGTAGATCTGATGTTGCATATGTTGCAATGACTATACACGTACGTTGCAAGTGTATGTTTTGAATGTTTTAGCTGGTTTAAACGTATGTTGCAAGTGTGTTTATCTAGATGTTGTATATGTTGCACAGGCTATACACGTATGTTTCAAGTATATGTTTTAAATATTTCAGTTGTTTCAAACGTATGTTGTAAGTGTTTTATTTGGATGTTGCATATGTTGTAGTGTCCATACACATATGTTTCAAACGTATGTTGTAAATGTTTCATCTGTTTCGAACTAATGTTGGAGCAAATACTTTATGTTGCATGTATTCCATGAGCAGGCGCGACAAGTGCGCGCAGGCAGAGGTGGTCCCCTTGGGCTCAGCAGTCCCCACATGCACGGGGAAGCGAAGCGGGCGCGGCAGCAGACGCGGAGCACAAAGCTATATATCCATGGGCATGGCAGCAAGCGTAGAGCACAAAGCTGCATCCATGGGCGGGCAGGAGGCATGGAGCACGAGGCAAAGCAGAGCATGAAGCTGCATCCATGGGCGAGCAGCAGACGCGGGGCACGAAGTGTTATCCATAGGCGGGCAGCAGGCGCGGAGCGCGAGCAAAGTGGAGCACGAAGTTGCATTATGGGCGCTCTGAGGGTTTTATTATTGAAAACAGGCGTCCCGGCGCTAAGCTCTCTAAACAGCCCTAGCAGGGAGCCCTACAAAAGAATAAAAAAAAAGCATCTAGCCAATGTTTCAGTCACGCATGTGGAATAAAAAAAAGCATCTAGCGACCCAGAGTCTCCACACACGCGTCACTGTTGATCATCACAAACCTAGCTATATACGTATACGTACTTGCCAAGTATAATCTCTAATCCCATGGATATGCATATGTTGTCTTATGTTGTTCCCCTTGTCCTTAATTTGGTCCCCGGCCTGGTGGTTTCAGTTCGTTTCGTCGTAAATGATCGTAGATTATTTATTGTTGGCTAGTTTGGTGTGAGAGAAAAATACTATTTCAGCTTTATAATCCATGATCGTATATGAGCAGGCCAACAGGCTGAAGAATCTTGGCTTCCAAATATGTTCCATACTCCCTACTAGTACTAGTGTATATGTACTCCATCCAATACTAGATGTCGTTCGTGAACAAGAATCTCTGCTCGGCAACTGTTCTTAATTAAGTAATCTACCAAACAAATTAAAACATCACCTAACCAATTGATTGCACGCACCGTACCGTGCGTTCTGCACTTATTAGGACATGATGATTGATAAATTTGTCATCTGTAACATATGGACAATAGCTAACACTTAATAAGAGCAACCAGTTTTCTCACCATAATGATTCGTTTAGCATCAATCACCGCCTCACCAGCCGCCGCCGCCGGCGGCAGGAAAAATTCGACATGTTCGTTGGTTTGTTTCTGGGTTGATAAGTTCAACTGTGATAAGTCCGACTAATGTTGATTTGTTATGAGAGAAAAATATTGTGCCATACCGCGCCGCTGCTCATCACCCTGCCCCGCCCAATATCTGCAACGAGCTCTGCACAGTAAAAATCAGCCGTCCCCGTTCTCGGTTTTTGTCCCCCCACCCCCACGCCTGTATGAACAACAACAAATACAAAAACAAAAAAAACTCCAACTCAAGTTGCACTAGGCGCATGTCGGTGCTACTCCTTTTTCTATGCCCTTGTCACAAGGGTTCATCAATTGACTATCTAGAGCAAATTAAATGCAATGTACCTACAGTTCTCTGTCACATCAAACTTACAGCTTTGGCTAAATGCTAAGACAGAGGAGAGAGAGAAAAAGTGGGGGCACAAAAACCAACAAATTTTATAAGAGAGACAAATAAGTCATGTATTAATAGTGAAGAGCCGATTACTATATGAGTTGACTAAGAAAAGGCTACGAAGAAAACTAAGAAAAGGCTACGAAGAAAACCTTAG